CTGCCAATCGAACGTTCCCGTCTCTCATCTTGTAATTGATTCCGTCGAGGTAGCTGAGCCAACGGAGTGTGTCGCGCACTCGGGCGCCTCACTTTCTCATTTTATTACCTGCAGCCAGGAGCAGGGTTGGGAGCCCCACACCGGAAACCCCCGACTCTCTACCCTGTCGTTCGTGAGCCCTCAGAGTCATCGTCGCACGCACCTTCACCCCGTATGTGGTGCCCCTCCCCCGAGGTTACGTCGTCGCTATCGCGGGTTTATTTGCACCATTGCGCAGACGCTTGCCCGCTTGTCCTGAAAAAGAGAAGGGGTGTGGCGTCGCCAGCCCGAGGAAGAACCCGTTCCATTTTGGGACCGAGCCCGGAGCTTTCCATTTCTCGGGACAAAATGGCCGAATGTTCTTGGGTTTCGCTCGCCGCTCTACAGAGCGGCCTTTGACCGAGCGCACAGAGACGTGACTTTTTCCAGCGGCGAGAGCTCTCGGCGCGAGGCGGGCCGCTTCAAACAAAGCACCTCAGTCAGAGTCGAGTGGCTGGCCTCATTGTCGTTCTCACTCGCACTCGGAGTTCAAAACCATTTCTTGGGTCACGTGGCATCCACCTTCTCACGCTTGCTGCCTGATGCGCTAACAGTCGAGGACTGTCTGGGTGCCACTCGGAGTCGCGTTCTGAAGCTTGTGTCGCGCAGTACCAAGGTTCTCGGTTCGAATCTCAGCTGCGAGCCGCCGCTCCACGTTGAAGGAAAGTTTTCCCGCCGCGTCGAGCGTCGTTCACGCTGGTCCCTCTGAGGGCAGCCGTCGCCGATCCCGTCGGTTTGACGGCCGCATTTTCCCGCGTGTGCGTTTGCTCGACGAGCCTAATGTGCAAAATGTGCCTTGCAGCTGGCGCTCCTCAACCCCATCGAGAATCCCGACTTGGAACTGGCCATCGTCATGCTCATCGTTCCCTTTTTCGTGAACGTAAGTGTGCCGCTTCTCTTGGAGCGAGCGGATTTCCGTCCCTCCCGTTGTGGCGGATATTTCAAAGAAGCGGCACCGTACCAGTTTGGCGGCAAATGTATATGGTCGTCTGCAGGCCCTCATGTTTTGGGTGGTGGACAATTTCCTCATGAAGAAGCACCGGACCAAGGCCAAGCTGGAGGAGAGAGAAGAGGACTCACGGGGTAACGGCAAGGTGCGCTACCGGCGGGCTCTATCCCACGACGACTCGGAGTCGGAGGTGAGTGTCCCCCGGCGAGCCTCCTCGCGACGTAGTCAGACGCTGACCCGACACTTGAACAAGATCCCTTTCGCCGCGTTGGCTCATACCCGAAATGGACACCTGTGGCGGTTGGGTTGTTTGGGGAGGTTTCCATCTTCTCTTCTTTTACGCTTGGGAGGGGTCAAATTGAGGAGACATCATCGACCGCCACTCACGTACTTGATGTCAATTTACTTGCGTCGTCCCCTCGCGCAGTACAATTCGTCCACCCAAAAGGTTGTCACGAACATTAGACTCGTGAGGGCTCCGGGGCCCTTCTGACGGCGGTTCCCAAGATTCTCCTTGCCAATCCTGGCCGCTCCCGCCCCATTTTCATGTGTCGGAAAAGAAAAACGGCGCTGTTGTCGTCGTTGACAGTCACTTGGCGCAGTCACCCGGGATGAACAGAAACCGCGTTTTGGCCACACAAGCAACGTGTTTACTTTTGACCTCGTCATTGTGTGAAAATAAACGAATCATCGTGTCTCAAACAGGCTTTCTCCTCGTACGTCTCCCTTTTTTACTCTTTCGCGTCAGGGCCATCTTGAGCATCTCGACGACCAAATGGTGACGCTAATTCCGTCATCCCGATGTTGCAACCACTCGCGTGTACACTTGGGAATGTTTTTTGATTGGTGATTGGCACGTCTTCCCCCCCCCATGGCGCCTTGTTTGGTCCGACGTGAGTGCATATCCGTCACTAAACGTGGAGTTTAGTTGTCGTCAATCTTGCCCATATTGGCTCTCTGCTTTCTGTGTATCGGAAGCAGTACAAAGCGTCCAAGCCCGATTTTCATGGGACTTGATGCGGCGTTTCAGTCCTCCATCTACGCCGCAGTGGCCCCTGTACTCAGTCTTAACAGATGACAAAGTGCGCAGTATCTTGACGCATCAAACTTTGGAATGTCACTCATTTTGGTCACACGTGATCTTTTGCAATTCCTTCATTCTACTTTTTTTTCTTTTTTTTTTTTTTTAAAGATCCTTTTCTCAGCAGACGACGAGATGGACGAGTCGGATGAGGACGACGTTCGCCGCCTCGCGGGGCTGAAGGCGGTTAAGAAGAAGAAGCTGCGTATGGGGATCCCCGTGTGACCGAGCGCCTCGGCGAAAGGGCGCCCCGAGCGTCCACAGACTGATTGCCGACCTCCTCAAAAACCCTTTCAAGCATAGGAACCCCTTTCATGGCCGAAGAGACTTGGCTTGGTTCTCACTTGTTGCACTTTGACACGTCCCCCCCCTCGAGTGAGGGCCCGTGTGAGTCTAGCAGGAAAATGGAGCGCGTGACGGCAGCGTCGGGCCACCATGCAAACGCTTTCTTCCTCCTCGTCGAACGGGATTTTATTTGACGATGCGCCGCCTTGGACCTGTGCATGGGCTCCGCTAGTCACACCTCAGGCTCAGAGGAGCCTTGGGCACCATTCCACCCTCCTGTAAATGACGCTCGTGTTCGAGTTAGCGCGTGCCGATAGCGGTATGCAGCAGAATTAAGCTTAAGGAAAGAAGAAAAAAATGCCAGTCACCGCCAAAGTCCTTAACTGGCGCCCCCTTCCGCCGCAGCGTGTCTTTCAGGACTGCAGCTCCACTGCGGTTTGTCAGTTGCTGTCTGATGGCACGAGAAGTGATCTTTGTCCCATCCTTCTCTTGCACAACTCACCGCATTGTTCCTCTTTTCTTTGGCACACCCGCGTGCCCGAGTGACATGACCAGCAGCTGTTTTGTTTGTTTGCTATATTTGATGGGACTTTGGATGTTTGTGGAGCTCCCGATGTTCAGGCGTGACGGGGCGTTCTGATTCGAAGAATGTGATGCGCGTAGACCTCAATACTGTTAGGTGACTGTGGACCAAACTGTCGGGAGAGGGGGTGTTTGGAGCCAATATTTGCCTGTGTGGGGGTGAGCGCGTGCAAATGTTTGCGCTTGGTGTGAGTGACGCAACCCTTTCAAAGTGATTGGGTTCAAAATGTTTCCTGTGACGGCGGCGATGCGGAGTCCAGGCTGGCACGTCAAATACCTTTGATTCGAAAGGAGGGAAATCCGCGGCGCGGTTGTCTCCACCCTTGTCTGTTGTTTGGCAAAACGGATTCAGAAGGAGAGGGGAAGGTCGCGAGATGTCATTGGGGACGATTTTCCAATAAAGAATGAGATCCGGGGAAACGCGCGCCGCCATCCAAGCGAGGTCTTTTTCATGGCCCCCCTCGTTTCTTTCAGCACGACGAGGCCAAAGCGGGTTCTACGCGTGGCCCGCTCGCAAAAGACTGCGGCGACGAGACCGCCCACGGTCCAGACCCGTCTCTCGTTGAAAAGGCCTGCGGGCCGCACGCTGCGGCGTCAAATACGAACACCGTCGAACACCCAGAGAAAGAATTCCGGCCAGCCAGCTTGAGCGATTCTCGCGTCTGCCGTTCCCAAAGGCTTTTCAAATCCTCTGAAGGCACACGGCGGTAAACGTGACCCTGTCGCAGCTTTTTGGTGGGGGGTCGTGATGCAGTCGGCAAATTCAGAGTTGATGATTCATTGCCCGCGACAATCCCGTTGATCGCTTTCAACATGAGCTCTCTTTGCTAGCAATGAAATTGTTGATTTCTGTTTTGATTTGTGTCAATGCCTCAACTTGACTTGAATCGGGCTGGCATTTGGAGCAATTCAGTTGAAAGTTGATCATGCCCCCTGTTTCAAACGGCTGCCGTAGAAAGCACTCGAGCTCGGCCCCATTGAGAGACGGTGAGGGAAGAGCAGCTTTTAGTTTGGTCCGCGGGCACGCGGCGGTGTAGCTGCTCCGGCCCTCGCATCACGGCTAATAATAGACCCTGACGACAGGCGCCGGTGGGCAGAGGCTCCCCCGAGTCACTGGCCGGGTCTGTCGCCGGTCTAAAAATAGAGCGTGTATATATACGCGCATCGCGTCAGGCTAGCCGATGGTACGAGACGCACCCCGGGCGCGGAGCGGAGCCACCGCAAAGAACAGGACTCGGCAACCGGCAGCAACATGTCACAGGTAAAGTTGTGTCAAAGGGACTCTTCATTCTTTCATCTCCTCTGGCTGGCTAGCGAGTGCTTTTGTGTCCATCCAAGCCAGGCGACGTGAAAAAGAAGAAGCGTCCGCCCATGAAGGAGGAGGACCTGAAAGGAGCCCGCAGCAAACTGGGCCTGAAGGGCGAAGTCAAGAGTAAGACCTACGAGGTCATGGCCGAATGCGGTAAGTCACGCGGGTTGTTCCGTCCGCTCACGATCAGCCTTTTTCCCATCCGACGAGGTGGCCGACAAGTCTCCCTCTTCGATTGGACGACCTCTGCCCAGGAGGGCGTCAGCTGCTTTGTGCAACCTCCCATCCATTGTTTGGATAGCCACGGCGTGCTTGTCACTGGACTTACGGACCTCTTCTGCCCCCCCAGGACGACTCGGTCGTCAGACCGTTGACTTCGCGCCCGAGGGCAAATCAAACGATCCAGAATGCGGCACTCACTCGGTATCGAGGCACGTTCTGCCCGATTCAACCACGCTGACTCTTTCGGAGCGCTGCTGTCGATTGAAATCATTTCACCGGAGACAAAACCCCAAACCACTCACAGCTGACACTGAAACAGGAAACGAGCTTACACTTGATTTGATGCTTCCGTTACAGAAGTCGGAAGTGCGGTTCATTAGAATTTTTATTGGATCGAATTTCTAGTTGCCCTGCGATTGGCTGGCGGCCGGTTCAGGGTGTCCCCCACCTACTGCCCTAAGACAGCTGGGATAGGCTCCGGCACCCCCCCCGCCTGCGACGCTTGTGAGGATGAAGCCGATCTGAAAATGGATGCATGGATGGATCGAATTTCTAGTTCGCCCACGATGACAACAGCCCAACTCGATGTTCGCTGATGTTAAAGTGCACACTGGGTATTTCTTGAGAAGAGAGAAGAAATTTATCTTGATTGAAAACTACCATACATCTCTTTCCTCTCCCTATAGTACATTGATGTACCTTTCTATATCTAAAAAAAAAAAAGTTTCCTCGCTCACATAGGGCGGGACCTCCTTGAAGCTCGGGTCCTCCAGTTTGAGGGGACCTTCACCGCCTCCCCATGACCGTGCTGTCGTGCACGGAGACGTCAGTCGTATCCCGCGGGAGCCATCCGTCCAGCGCCCCCGTCGCCAGTGGTGCCACGTTTTTAGCACCCCCCATTTTCTGTCGCTCTTCCCTCATTCCTCTGTGTTTCCCCGAACATTTTTACGGGAGTAAGTGTGTTGATGTTAGACACGCGTAAGGTGTTCCGAACGGCGGGCCCGACAAGTACCAAAAAAGTGGCACTTGGCACCGTTGCAAGATATGTCCAGCCTGTTATTGCGCGGACACGCGTTGTGAGCTCAAGGTCGAAGGGGCACATTGGAGGACAATGCCGTTTCGCCGGCTTTTGCTTGACTCTCTCACTTCGATATCTGTTGCTCTTTTCTTGTTTCAGAGCGCATGGGCAAAGTTGCGCCATCGGTGTTTAGCAACGTCAGGACAGGGGCCGAGACGTCCCTGGACAAGCCCGCCGCCAAAGGCCCGGGAGCCAGCGTGTTCAACAAGTAGCGCCTCGTTTGCAGGATTCGGTTCAGAGAATGCGCCGTACAGTCAAGTCGCTGCTTTTCCAA